TTATGACTTATTATGAATAATTATTTATATATTTAAATTTGTAATAAATTATATTTTTTAATATATCGTGTCCGAGTGTGTATGTCTTATTTTAAAAAAAAAAAATTGCTGTGTCTCATGTGCGTATTGTGTGTCCAAGTCCATGCAACCGAGGTTAATAGAGTTACAAATATAGAAAATAAGCATTAGATACTATATAAAAAATCTTTTCAAAAAAAAAAAAAAACCTTTTAACTGCTCTAAACAGCTATAGTGACATGTTCCATCACTTCTCTTATATCAATGTTCTTTTTTACCTTTTTTTTTGGATTTTAATTATATCAAAGTTAATTGAAATACTACCTATGATTTGTGGCTCAATTGACAATATAGACTGAACATGTAGAAAGAGCTCTCAGATTTTATCCCCACTAAACGCATCTGCAGGAAGGAAAAATGAACCTTAATTGGGGTGACTAAATCCCGAACTTAATTAAGCGGTCTTTAATTATAGAATTCATTTACACCAATAAAAAGTTAATTGGAATGCAAATACATATAATGCCACATTGGAGTTTAGCCCCTTAAGAAGCTTTGCCTCCCACGTTCCATCACAATAGTAGAACAAGTGAATAATACACCAGACTTTAAAGTTCGAAAGTTAAAGAAAAATTTTAAAAAGCCACTGTTTTATAAAGCAAATCTTTAGAAAAAACATTGGCCCTCCACCCTTCTCTACTTTCGGCAGTCGTCAATGATGAAATGCTATTATTGTTATAAAATATTGGTGGTATCGGTACCAATTTTTTCCAACGGTAAAAACTATTTAAAAAATTATTTAATAACATAGCGTTTGAATTAATTTTTAGAGATTAGAGTAGCGTTTTATAAAAAATTAATTTATTTAATATTTAGTTTTTAATATTTCATGAAAAAAAACTCAAACAGCTAACAGTTAAACGCTATTAAAACAACTAACGGCTATCAAAATAGATAATTTTGTTGATAACCCATTATAATTTAATTGGTCTTTATTCTCAATCCAGTAAATGTTATTCAGAAAAAAAAATTACCCAGCACATGATGTTAAAAAGAATTATTACTGTAAGATAATATTATTATTTGGCTAATAGCTTGATATAATCAAGAAACAAGCTTCTAACTTCCTATTGAAACAATTAGTGATAAATGGGTAAACTGAAACCAACTTTATCATCTTATCTATACTATATATAAGAGTGGAAATGAGAGGGGAATAACGAGATTCCGGATAATATCTTTAATGAAATTTAAAATGTTCTAAAATAATCTTATTGATGACCAATTAAAGTTTATTTTAAATATTATGCTTAATAAATAATTAACATTAACTATATATTAATAAATATATTTTATTTTTAATTAACCATTCGTTTCTTAATGAAATTGTATATACAAAATCTTTAGTCAAACTATTAAATTAATTTTATTATTTATTGGTATTTTATAAAGTTATTTTCTACATATATATTAAAATTAGTATTTCACATTTTTTTTATCCTTTTTCTCTCTCTCTCTCTCTATATATTATTATAATATATATATAACATATCAAGTAGCAGATATTTAGTTTTCACATTAGAACGTTAACGTTCCTATATCTCTTTTAATTATTTAATTAAAATGTTATTTTTTTTTAATTTTAGTTTCCAAATTAGACTATCAATCATTAAATTAGATGACCAATTAATATATTTCCTATTTGAATATAATTCTATTGGATAGAATAATAAGAAATTTTAAGGTAGCTATTAAATAAGGTACGTATTAAATATATAATATATTTTAATATTTTAATTTTCTTGGTTAAAAAACTAAAAGAATTTTTTCTTATAAGGTACGTATTAAATATATAATATATTTTAATATTTTAATTTTCTTGGTTAAAAAACTAAAAGAATTTTTTCTTATAAGGTACGTATTAAATATATAATATATTTTAATATTTTAATTTTCTTGGTTAAAAAACTAAAAGAATTTTTTCTTATAAGGTACGTATTAAATATATAATATATTATCGATTTTCTATTTAAATTTAATCTTATTATTAGATAATATAATTATATGAGGAATTTTTAAAATGATATTACAATTTTGATTGGTTAAAAAATAAAATCTATTATTTAAAACTTATTAATTTAACCCATTAAAAATATTTAAACAACAGTTAATTATGAGCGTCAAGCGAGTAAATATCAAATGCAACATTTTGAGAGAAATAATATGGCAAGTGAGATGTATGATAAATTCTATTGCTAAGAAAAAAAATTCAAAACTGAAATAGTAGCCATGAAACTATAATACTCATGAAACCATTATGATAGCTTCATGAAATTTCCATTAGAAGCAAGTTGGATATTTAATTGCTAAAGTCTTTTTTTTTAAAAGAAAAAACTTCTTGCACCTAGCAAATTAGGATTTTTAGAATAATACACAGTTGGTATTATCGAGTCAAAAAATATTATTTATACAAAGAAAAATTAAAGTGAAAGTGAAGAAAATAATAGAAAAATTTAGAGACAATATCATAGAGTTAGGTTAAAGAAAATAAGATATTTTAATTGATTACAGAGAGTTTAACTTTGTTGTTGAAAAAATTAAAAAAAAAAATTGAAATGGGAGTAGATTAATGATTGAATAGAAATTTTAATTTTAATTGAAATTACTTTTTAAATAAATAAATATAAATAATTAAAATTTTCAAAATTTTAAATTTTACCGTTTTAAAATTTATTCTTTAATAAATATATATGATAAAGAGAGATTTAAAGATTTTTATATTTTATTTTTTTAGTAAATGTCGTAATATGAAAAAAGGAAAATCTTTCATCTTTGATTGCACTTCTCTTTTAAGCTCTTTATTAGATAATAATTATATTATTAATGTGTGAAGTCGATTCTTGCTTGACTTGTTGGCTCACTCGAGGCGAGGACGGAGTTTGTTTTCTTCCTTGCTTTGTATCGAGAGTATTTGTATGCGGTTGTAAGACATGTTCTTTCTTGTTAGAGGTTTCATTCTCTTCTCTTTTTTTTTTATTAATTAATTAATTTATTTATTTATTTTAAATTTATAAATTAGAGCAATATAGAAATAAAATACTTAATAAACTCGTTAACGTGCGACTTGTTCCTTTATTGATGCTATTGATGTATAGTGTCAGAACTCATCTATATTTATCATATGTTGCAAACTCTTGAAAAAACAATGCAGTTATAGAAGATCCACATGAATTATTATTTTGACATCCAAATCAATAAATAGACTAGATGCTACTATGAAGATTTATATCTTTTATCAATATCAACTCCAAACAGAAATATCTAATATTATATTTATTTTAATTTTAATTTCATTATTCAAAAGAAAAAGAATATAAATTCTTTAACTTTTTGTTAAAAATAATGAACTTTATTAGTTACTAACAGTAAAATTCTATGTCTAATTTATATGATTATTTGTATTTTGATATTATTTATTAAATGAATAATATTTTTCAAAAAAAAAAGTCATTAAACAGACTAATATTGGATCCCAATTCCATTTAGTGACTTTGGTTTGGTCTTTTTTTTTTTTTTTGTCCATTAACATCATTATTGATTCTCAGTTGAAAATTGGTTGATTTTTTGAATCCAAAATTCGTACTTTGTTTAATACAATTTCTTCTTTTCTTTTTTTTTTTTTTTTTTTTTTTTTTTTTTAATATGTTGAGGTCTAAACATAGCTTCATTCTTAATAATAATTTTTTTATTTTTTATTTTCTATTTTCTTTTTCATTACTAAATTAATTTGTAATCACTGTCATTTTAATTTAGTAGGAAATTTTTTTCTCTCTCGAAATAAATAGACAGCCTTTAATAGTTAAACATTTTTAATTTTCTTGATATTTTTTTTTCTTATATCATAAATCAGTTTGATTTGAAAGAAAATAGTGTTTATAAAACTAGAAAAAAATAGAACTATACAATTATTTTTTTGGTCACTTTTTGGATTTCAAGAATTTATTTTAAATGTTCATATATTCCTTTCTCTAATGCATTGAGTAAATAATACTATCACTATAGTCAAAATGATTACCATTATCAATTCAGATCATCTTCTCATTTCTTTTCTTTTAACTAGCAATAAAAAAAATAATTATTTTTTTATTATAGTTGTATATAGATACGATTTGGAGTAGAGGCAGGAGGTTAGAGATTGAGTGATGACTTATTTTTTTTAACACTTTATCAGGGTTTTAAGAATCTGCATTTATAAATTACGGATTGAAGAATTAAATCTAGGGATTGGGTTAAACTTTATTTTTAGGGTATTTTATTATATAAAAATAGAACTATGTACATAAGAAGTAACATTACAAGTAGCTTGTACTATAAAATCTAATACAAATTAATAATTGTATTTATTTTAATATATATGCTTTAATATTATATAGATACAAAATTAAACAAATTATAAGTAGCTTGTATTATAAAATCTAATACAAATTAATAATTATATTTATTTTAATATATATACTTTAATATTATATAGATAAAAAATTAAATAAAGTATAAAAGATAAGAATATAACGATCATAATTAACGTGGAACGTATCTCGTAAAAAAGATTAGTTAATTAAAAATTGCCAACTTATATTAAAAGTAAATTAAAGTACTTGAAATTTGAACAATTGGAGTTTGGATTGGTAGAAGTAGACTATATTTTTAAGTAAATTTTACCTGTAGAGTCTAGGTTAAAAATTTAGAGTTATTACGTTTGATAGTTTTTATCTGAATATCACCTCCCCTTGTCATATTGAGACCTTTGGTGTTGATACTTATCTTGTTTCTATATATTTCTTGTATAGGTTCCTAAATATTGAGCAAGTTACTAATTAAATTTCCAACTTAGCGTATACGATAATCCACCTCATAATTTATACTCTATATTTACATTTAAAAAAACATTTAAAAAAAAAAAAAAAAAAAGAAGTTACGGGGGCACTTATACTCTATATTATTATAGTAAAATAAAATGTTATTCTATCTTTATTATTACTAATTTTCCTTATTAGATTTATTAAATAACTTCAGCCTTTTCCTATAAATAGATAGGAGTTGCATACTCAAAGCAGCAACAAATACAACAATGGCATCACTAACCCTTCTTGAGATCTTCATAGCAATCACTAGCTATGTTATTCTTCGTTGCTTTTTCAACAAAAATGGGCAACCAATTAACTGGCCGGTCTTCGGTATGCTGCCAGACACTCTCTACCATCTTCACCGAATTCACCAGCGGACCACAGAAGTTCTAGAAAGAGCTGGTTCCACCTTGTACTACAAAGGCCCTTGGTTTTCTAATGTCAAGATATTAGCAACAGTAGATCCAACCAATATCCACTATATAATGAGCTCAAATTTCTCAAATTTCCCTAAAGGACCTGAATTCTCCAAGATTTTTGACATTCTTGGAGATGGAATTTTCAATTCCGATTCAAATTCTTGGAAAAACCAGAGAAAACTAGCTCACACGTTGATTAATCGTGGGTGTTTTCATAAGTTCTTGATCAATACTTGTCAAGATATGGTGGAGAAAGGCCTCCTTCCAGTTCTTGAACATGTAAGTGATCAAGATTTAGAAGTGGACTTACAAGATTTGTTTCAAAGGTTCACATTTGATATTACATGTGCATTAGTAACAGGTTATAATCCAAGATGTCTATCTATTGAACTTCCACTAGTAGAATTTTCAAAGGCAATGGATGATGCTGAGGAGGCTCTGTTTTATAGACATTTAACACCAGAATTTGTTTGGAAGTTGCAAAGGTGGCTAGGGATTGGACAAGAAAAGAAAATGGCAAAAGCAAGGAAAGTTCTTGATGATACATCAAGAAATTATATATCAAGAAAAAGAGAACAGCTAGTCAAGAATAATAATATTCAAGAAAATGGAGAGGGGGTTGATTTGTTAACATCATATATGAATGAAGGAGATAAAATCTTGGGAACTATACCAGATGAAAAGTTTTTAAGAGACACCATTATAAATCTGTTGCTTGCAGGTAGAGATACAACTAGTTCCGGTCTTTCTTGGTTCTTTTGGCTTATTTCCAAGAATCCACGAGCAGAGAGCAAAATAAGACAAGAGATTCAGGAAATTACTCTACAAGGCAAAAAAGCAAACACTTGGTGTGCATTAAATGTACAAGAGGTAAATAGTCTTGTTTATTTACATGCAGCTTTGTGCGAGTCATTAAGGCTATACCCACCAGTTCCATTTCAACATAAATCCCCATTGCAAAATGATGTGCTTCCAAGTGGGCACGAAGTGAGTCCAGAAATGAAGATAGTGTTTTGCTTGTATTCAATGGGAAGGATGGCTTCTATATGGGGTGAAGATTGCTTAGAGTTTAAGCCAGAGAGGTGGATTAGTGGAGGAGGAAAAATCAAGCATGAGCCATCTTACAAATTCTTGGCTTTTAATGCAGGTCCAAGAACTTGTTTGGGTAAAGAAGTGGCCTTTACTCAAATGAAGATAGTTGCAGCTTCCATATTACATAATTACAATGTCAAGGTAGTAGAAGACCATCCTGTAACTCCTAGTGCTTCTATTATTCTCCACATGAAACATGGCTTAAAGGTCAACGTCAGCAGGAGATGGGTTTGAATTATTTATATCTACTTTATGCTTTTAAAGTGATCCAATATATAAGTTCTTTTTTCTTTTTTCTTTTAAACCTTTAGGATTTAAGACCCAAAGGAAATTAACACCTCCTACTTTTATTAAAAAAAAAAAAAGAAAGCAAAGAAAAAAATTGCAATATATATAAATATATATGAGTGTGCGTGTTTTTTTTTTTTTGGTTTTTATTTTTTTTTTTTTTTGTTTTATGTATTTAATTAAATCAAATAATAGTAAATAGTAGTATTATTATTATAGTATTGAGTTTTACTTGTGACTTTGTTACAATTGTTTTTAGTTTTTAATTTATGTAAGGTTGTTTATATACATAAAAACTAAACCAAGGTTGTGGATGAATCATATTCTCCATATAAACGTGTCAATGATATATATATATATATATACTGTTGGGCGGTGCCCACTCAGTGGGATTCACACTTTGTTGAAAATAGAAGATAGTAGGTGATCAACCACATGTAGTTTGAAAAAAACAACAAAAAAAACAAAAAAAGAGGAAAAAAAGTCTTTGGTAGGTGGACGCGTTAATCACGCATCCACTTCTCCTAATCAGGCTTCCACCTCTCTTATAAATAGGAGATGGTGCTAGAGCTTCAACACACTAACGAATAGAGTAAAAACAAAGGAGAGAGTTTTGAGTTTTAGAACGGATTCTAAAACTTGGGTAGTTACAATAGTGAAGATAATTTAGGGTGTTTTTGGGAAATACTTTTGAGCGCCACTATTTGGTATTACTCTCTTTGTACGCCTACTATTTTTAATAGTAGAAGAAATATTCGGTTTTTGTTTCGTGGACATAGCCCTAAAAGGTTAAAGGGTGAACCACGTAAATATCTGTGTGTCATATTTATATTTTTCCGCTATATTATTATCGTAATTTTATTGCCGGGCCCTAACAAGTGGTATCAGAGCTGAAGGTTTACCGGATCCGTGGATATATTTGATATATTTTGAAAATAAATATACCACGACGACGAGAAAATTACGCCGAGTCCATTGGTGCAGTCCGTTCGGAAAAACGTTGCAGAATCGACTTAGTGAAGAATAGTAAAATAGTAACTCAAAGTTGATGGTGAACAGTACTATTGGCGTTACTCTGAGTCCGTTTCAAGTAAGCCCAGCACTATTCACGCATAGAACTATTCACGTATACAGTTACTATTCACGAATATAGGTACTGTTTACGTATACTGTTACTATTTATACATACGGTCACTATTCACGTATACTACTATTTACGTATACGGTTTCTATTGGTGATAATATTCTGCACAAGTCAAAAATGGACGACAGAACAACAGGTTGGTTGACTCAACCATCCAAACTAGCAGATGGAAGATATTAAATGGAAGATCTCTTATGCTGCCAAAGATCTTTTTGAAACGATTTGAGTTGAAAGGGGTCAAACCAACTTCAATAATGAGACCGATTGGAGTCACTAATAGAAAAAACAGTCGCAACAATTAGGCAGATCTATTGAATGAGCGTCATAAATCATATCACTCATGAGAAAGATGCCTATTCGATTTTGGAAAGATTGAGGACATGTACGGAGCGGAAAAGAATGCCCAGAACAAACTTTTAATTAAAAAAAAAGCTTGTAAATCTAAAGTACAGAGATGGCGAAAGTGCTTCAGATCACTTGGGCAAATTTCAAGAAATATTGAACCAACTGACGTCAAAGATAGTGTTTGACGACCAGGTGCAGGCACTATTCTTATTGAGTTCCTTGCCGGACAGTTGGGAGACACTGACTGTTACGCTCAGTAATGTATCGGAGGGGAATCTGACCTTAACCACAGTTAAGGAAAGCATTCTGAATGAAGAAACCAGACGGAAGGAGAATGGTACGAGTAGCAACTCAGATGCACTCGTTACAGTTACAGAAAGGAGGGGGAGAAGCAGAACAAGATACCCCCAAAATTCAGACAAACGTGACCATTCACGGAGAAGATCCAAGTCAAGAAAAGGAGTCACTTGCTATCATTGTGGCAAGCCCGGTCACGTCCAAAGGCACTGCAGAAAGTGGAAAAGAAGGAACAGCCAAAAAGAAAATGATGAGGAAAAGACGATACGGAGGTAGCTTCAGTAAGCTATGATGCTGACGCCACTTGGTGATCTAGTTAGTGCGTTGATTTCTCATGCTTCGGTCTCAGTGAGTGTTCACTAGTCAACAATCTCTTATGGATTATTGACTCTTACATGTTCTCTATCATATTCTTCAATGAAGGAATATTCTTATCAACTTACCCTCGGAGACGGCCCATGTCAAGACTTTGAATGGCACATATGATGTGAAAAATTGCGGCATTGGAACAATATGCATCAAAACCAATGCTGGTTATGATCTCTGGTTGGAAGATGTGAGATACACTCCTACGGCAAACTTCAATCTGATCTCAGTTCATTGTCTTGATGAATTAGGTTATGTAAATCTGTTTGTCAACAGAACTTGGAAGCTTTCCAAAGGTAACCTGGTGTTTGGAAGAGGAAGAAAGTTCAACACCCTCTACTACACCTAGGCCAAAGTTTGCACAGGAGTGGTGAATGCAGTTGAAGATTCATCTGCTGAGTTGTGGCACAAACGACTTGGTCATTTGAGTGAGAAAGGAATGGAGACTCTCACTAAGAAGAAAATGCTCTCTCTGAAAGGTTTGCCTCTAAAAATATGAACTGATTGTTTATTTGGTAAACAACATAGAGTTTCATTTCAAAGATCCCCTTCTCCTTCTAGAAAGCTTGGTATTCTAGAATTGGTACACACTGATGTTTGCTCAATGGGTGACAAATCCTTGAGTGGTTGCCAACTTTATTGATGACCATTCTAGAAAGGTTGGCTTCCCAATAAAGGTTTTTTTTTTTTCCAACACCAGTGCTGGAGTGCTGGATATGTTTAAAGTCTTTCATGTCAGTGTTGAAAGACAAACAGGAAGAAAACTAAAATGTGTTAGAGCTGATAATGGTGGTGAGTACGGAGGTCCATTTGAGAAGTATTGCTCAGAACATGGCATCAGACTTCAGAAGACAGTTCTTAAAACTCCACAACAGAATGGAGTTGCAGAGAGAATGAACAGGACCATTGTTGAAAGGGTTCGATGTATGTTCTCTCATATTAAACTTCCTAAAACCTTTTGGGCTGAAGCAATGAATACTGCAGTTTACTTGATCAACCTTTCACCTTCAACCTCCCTCAAAGGAGATGTACCAGAAAAGGTGTGGTCAGGATATTTTCTACGATCATCTTAGAATATTTGGCTGCAGAGCTTTTGTTCATATTCCAAGATTGAAAGATCCAAGCTTTGATTCGAGAGTCAAAACTAGTGTATCTCTTTGGGTTAGGAAATGATGATTTTTGGGTACAGATTATGGGATTGCTCAGGTAAAGAGCTCTGCTAGAAGCAGATGATGTCGTTATTCCTGGAAGACCAAACCATTGAGACTTTGAGACAAAATGAAAAGCCAAAAGTCTATCAAGTTTTCCTGTTAGTCTTGAATGCAGGAACCTCGTGTTAGACCACAAAATGATGGAAGAATGATGAACTTGTCATGAATGTGCTGAACCAGCTCACATAGAACAACTGCCTCAATTGATGAGTGGTTTGGGAGATCTGCGAGAGGCAGGGATACCTTCCCGAGATGATTCTCCTAATGAGTATGACTGTTGACTCAAGGAGAGAACCAAGAGAACTACCAGGAGGCAATGGAATAAAAGAAATGAGTGGTTGAAGCTAGACAAGATGAGATGGAGTCCTTGCATGAGAACTAGACTTATGAGTTGGTGGAAAACTGCCTATAGTAAGAAGGCACTGAAAACAAATGGTATTCAGGTTGAAAGATATGAAAGAACAACTCACAGCCGAGGTACAACTATGATAGGTTGTGGTGAAGGATCACTCTATAGAAAGAAGTTGACTTTGAAGGAATTTCTCACCGTAGTCAAGATTTTCTTCATCCATATATGTGCCTTTAGCAAGCTAGCTTGAATTTGGAGATCGAACAACTTGATGTAAAGACTACTTTCCTCCATGGTGACTTAGTATAGATGATTTTATATGGAATAGCCAGAAGGATTCAGAAGTCCAAAGGCAAGAACACTTGGTGTGTAAATTGCAGCAAGAGCTTGTATGCTTCTCAAACAAGCTCCCAGACAGGGTACAAAAAGTTTGACTCTTTTATGTTGTATAATCACGTTATGAGAAAACTACTTCTGATCATGTGTATTTGTGAAAAAAGTTCGCAGAAAAGGCGACTTTTTATTCTCTTGTTTGTTATATGTGGATGATATGCTTATTGTGGGCCAAGATGCTAAGAAAATTGAGAGCTTGAAAAAGGAACTTGGAAAATCCTTTGCCAAGAAGGATTTGGGATCGGCAAAACAGATACTCGGAATGAAGATCTCCAGAGACAGGAAAAAGAGAAAGTTGTGGCTGTCTCAAGAAAAGAATATCGAGAAAGTTCTCAGCAGATTCAACATGAGCAATGCGAAACCAGTTAGTAATCCACTTGCAGGTCATTTCAAATTAAGTCTCAATCAATGTCCTTCAAGTGAGAAAGAAAAAGAAGAACTAAAGAAGATTCCTTATGCATCCGCTGTTGGCAGCTTGATGTACGACATGGTATGCACAAGACCGGATATTGCTCATGCTGTTGGTGTTGTTAGCCGATTTCTTTCAAATCCAGGTAAAGAACACTGGAATGCGGTAAAGTGGATTCTCAGGTATCTTAAGGGCACTATCTTAAGGGCACTTCCAAAATGTGCTTATGTTTTTGGTGATAGTGTTACCGTAGATGTTAACAGATGCAGACATGGGTGGTGATGTTGATTCGCGCAAATCAACTTCTGTATATTTGGATGGACCTTTGCAGGTTGTGGTTGCAACAGTTTCTTGGCAATCAAAATTGCAAAAAATGCGTGTGCACTTCTTCATCCACTGAGGCGAATATATCGCCATTACAGAAGCTAGCAAAGACTCTTGTGGATGAAGAATCTACA